GGGGGGAGCTTTAGACAAGGGCCCAGGCAAAGGCCAGCCCCAGGGAAGAGGTGGGGAAGACGGAGGCCCCTAGAGAGAAAGGGGCTGAGAGGCCCCACCAAAATGAGGGAACCCACATAGGAGCCAGGAGGGCCCATGTGGGAACCCAAACAGAAGTAGGAACCCACGTAGTACCAGGGCGTTCTACAGTGGGAACCCAGACCCTAGAGGTGGGAAGCAGGTGGCTCCAGACTTTGGAGGGCCTGCAAGAGGAAAGAGATGCCCTGCAGGCCCCGCTGCGAAGGAAGCTGGGGCAATAGGAACCCTTTCCTCCCCTCCCCCGTGAGCATGTTTAAGGGAGAGGGTTTGTGGTGGGGCAGTTGCCCCACCCCCATGTGAGAGAGGGCTAGAGTAGGCCAGAATGGCTGTGCAAGCCAGCAGCCAATCAGGGAAGGGCCTACTGAGAGCCAATCAGGGCTGAGATTAGAGCCAGCCAATCAGGGCTAGGCTAGGCCCTATATAATGGCTGCCCAGGACAGCAGTAGGTAGTCTGTCCCAGAACTTCCTGGGGGAAGGTCTGTCTCCAGAGCAGGAGACAGCACCTCGGGCTGGGTAGTATTGCACCTGGCCATCCGATGGCCGAGAGAAATTGTAACCGGCCCTTGAGATAAGGGGTAGACTTTGGGGGTTGCAGTTGGCCACTGAGGCAGGTGCAAGGACTGTTGCTAACCCCCGCCCCTTGGAATGGGGTGTGGATGGACTAGTGGGCACTGCTGGAGGGGCAGTGGCCTGAAGGACACTCTCAAGCAGTGAGCAACGTGGGTCCAGATGCCAACGGAGGACAAGAGACGGATGGGACGCTGCCAGCAGAGGGCGTTCCCCATTGACTGAGCTAATTCCCCGAGCGACCAGCGGGAGGCGCCATGGTGGTGAGTCCCAACCCCGTCAAAACCGCCCAGCCCTATTGTGGGTCCACTGCTACCCTGCAGACTCTGGTCCGGACCAGACTGGGCCAGCCGGAGTGACCTCCCTCGGAGTGGGAGAGGGAGAGCTAGTGGAAGGGGAAATAGAGCCCTCTGGCACTCACAGAAACTCTCTCCCCTCTCTGTGGAGCAGGGTTCTTCCCTCTGCCCCCCAAATTCCTTCATATGGGGCAGGACCTCTTTCCCTTGCACCCACTCCCCTCCCCCCTTTCCTTGGTCTACCTCCCTCCCATTCCAGCTGCGCCCATGTGGTGCAGAAAGGCCCTTGTTTCAGGGCCACAGCCCCACTGGAGCTCGGAAAGCTCCACTTTTGAGGAGGTAGGGGTGGGACAGAGGCTCAGGGCTAGCTTCATCTCCTGCCCTTTATTCTCCCCTTGGCCCTTCTATGGGGTCTCTAGGTATGACAAGAATAGGAGCCTCCTTCCCAGCTGTCTACCAGGCCCTGGGATCTGGCACAGCCTCCCAGACGGGCACATCCTGTAGCTGAGCCGCGTCAGGGAGCAGTGGGGACAGGTCACCTCGTCCCATCCAAGCAAGCAATGCTGGCTCTCAAAGAGGCTTAGATGGAAGACCCCAGTCCCTCATGGAGGTAAGAGCCATTTACTCCTTGGGGCGTGTGGGTCTCTTGTGGGAGAAATGGCATCCCCGATGCATAGCCTATCTGGGAGCTTCCCCTGTCCCTGGCTCCCAGTTCTGGGACAGAGACTTCTCCATCATCCTACCACCCTGGTTTCCTTCCTAGGAAGGGGCTCTCCAGAGACGTCCTCGAACCTGGACTCCTGAGAGCATTTCTGGCAGGAGACTCCAGCCCCTGGGGCATGAAGAGAGCATCGGGTAGTCTTGATCACCTGGCATCTCCGGTCTCTAGCTCCACTTCCCGCAGCAGTGGGGTTTCTCCAGCCCCCTCACCACACCTGTCAGCCTCTGAATGTCAGAGTCACCAGAACGAGCAAATTTCAGTTCCAGTCAGTGGGGCCTGGGTGTCCTCAGTCCCTCTGGAAAGCAGGTGTGAAATGGGGAGCAAGGACCCCAGGCCACGAACAGTGGGAGTGGGCAGAGCAGGCCTGTAACAGGGTGCTTTCCCCTGGGCTGCACAGCCTGGGGCCTAGCCAAGCTGACTATAGACTGAGCCCTAACTGAGAGGCAAAAGGAGAGGCCAGCCCCTCCCACCTCCCTTCCCCCTGGAGCGTCGCTAAACTATCAAAAATGAATACAGTGGAGTCACATCTTATGCGGTGGTTAGGTTCTAAGGTCAGCACATGTCAGGGTTCCCTCCCCACTCTGAATTTTAGGGTACAGATGTGGGGATCTGCATGAAAGACCCCCTAAGCTTATTTCTACCAGCTTAGGTTAAAAACTTCCCCAAGGCTCAAATTCCTTCCTTGCCTGTGTAGTGCTGCCACCATCAAGTGATTGAAACATTCAGGGAGGGCCACTTGGAGCCCCACCTTGCCCCTGCCAGCCCCTCTGAGGGGGGTCAGTATTATCCCTGTTCGCTGGGGCATAGGGATAGAAAGCAACTGGCTGAAAGGTCACACACGACGTCCCTGACAGAGGAAGGAAGGAAGCGTGGGACTGATACCAGTCCAGCTCCAGCCACTAGACTCCAGCCACTTCCAAAGTCAGAGAACCCAGGAGCCCTGACTCTGACACTAGGCCTTAAATGACCAGACCAACCTCCCTCCCACTCAGGAAGCCATAGAAGGGATCCTCTGCTGAGCTCCCCTTGGCAATGCCGCTGTCAGAGACCATTGCTAGTGGGTGCCAAGGGCCTGAGCAGGGAACTGCTTGAGATCCTCCTAGAGACTCGCAGGTGTTTGACTGTGACCCTCAGGGAGCCGTGGCAAGAGCCTCTCCGGCTCTAACAAAGGGTTTCTGTTCTCCTAGACAGTCAGCCCGTGAGGCCAGTTTGCAGAATGGGGAAGAGCCCTTTGGCGAGGCGTTGGAGGATTCACCATGAAGGTGGCAGCAGCGGCAGTGCTTGGGTCCCCATGGGCCAAGCCTCCACTCCTGACACTCCAGGCTAATCTCCCCCTGCTCTCAGTGGGGCTTGGCTTTAGCTGCTGGGCCTGTGAGCCTAGACCAGGGTCTCAAACTCAAATGACCATGAGGGCCGCTTGAGGACTAGTTCATTGGCCCGAGGGCTGCATCGCTGACACCCCCACTCGCTGTCCCCGGCCCTGCCCCCAGAGGGGGCAGGATGGGTGTGGCGGGGGCTCAGGGCAGGAGTTGAGGTGTAGGTGGCTCAGGGCAGGGAGTTGGAGGGGTGAGGCAGGGGGTCGGGATGCAGGGGGTAGTAGGGGGCTCTGGGCAGGAGGTTAGGGTGTGGGGGTGCAGGAGGGAGTGTGAGGTGTGGCAGAGGGTTGGGGTGCAGGCAGGGGGCTCAGGGGAGGAGGTTGGGGTGCAGAAGGGGTGGGGATGCAGAAGGGGGCTCAGGATAGAAAGTTGAGGTGCAGTAGGGGGTTGAGGTGCAGGCGGGAGGCTCAGGGCAGGGGGTTTGGGTGTGGGGGGCAGGAGGGAGGGCAGGCAGGGGGCTCATGGCAGGGGGTTGGGCTGTGGGGTGCAGGAGGGAGTGCGAGGTGTGGCAGAGGGTTGGGGTGCAGGCAGGAGGCTCAGGGCAGGGGGTTTGGGTGTGGGGGGCAGGAGGGAGGGCAGGCAGGGGGGCCCAGGCGGGGGGGGGGG